ACGCACTGTCCGACGTTGCACCGAGTGCGAGAGATGAAGTTGGGCTCTGCCCATGCTCACCGTCAGAACCGGCGAGACTTGGAGATTATGGTTTCATTGACACAGGGCTTATTGAGCAAGGAAGTTGTTTGTTTCAACAATTGGAGTTGCAGTGTCTAACGGACACGCGAGCCTCGTTGAGGCAATAATTGATTGGTATTATAAATGTTCTCAATCCTAAGGGGGAAGGGTGTTACGAGTAGTTATGGATGTATTTAGATTTTAATATATATATATATAGTATATTAAGGAAACTCTAAACTTTTAACATCAGAATAGAAAAATAAAAATAAAAATTAGTTTCGATTTTGAACAGAAGTGTTCGTTTGCCTTGGTTAAGGCTTTGTAGTAAATTTAGAGGCAGCGGATTGCTATCCGCTGCACTAGGACTTGATTATTGTAAAGAACGAAAGGTCGGTGACCTAAAGACGCTTCCTCAAGCGCAAAGCCACGGCAGCCCCGCTGCAAGTGTCCATTCAACCCAGCAGCGGAACTGTGAGCGTCTAAAATGACTAATTACTAAGATTATCAATTTGAGAGCGACGGCTCAATTATAATAAGTCTAATGTTTGATAAACGTATCACAATATAATTGTCTTCCTTACTTGACTTGCACCACAAGCACCACGGACCTACCATTACGAGGTCCCACCATCATCATAAATACAGATACTTTAACATTCAAACTAATGCAATGAAAAGTAATTTACCTCAAATGAGATAATTTTGATGTTGCACAATTGTGCAAAAAAAGTAGTAATACTCCTGTATACTATCGTATACTACATACTCTTTGATAATCGTGTACTCACACCAGTCATATGTACTATCCAAATGTACGGTGTGATGATTTCCATCCGGTATGAGTAATAATATTTTTGAAACGGTGTTTACCGGTATGCACATCTATGCAAAAGATTCTAATCTCAAATGGGCACACGAAGTCGCACGCTCAAATACTTGCCGGGACACGAATTACGCTTTGGAATTGCGGCAGTGTCACACGATGAATCAACAGGTGAAGTTGACGAAGCTGTTTGTTTATTCTGCCAGCACTTTGGTCGCGAGCAACGAGCTGAGAAAAAGCGCAAGTGTGCCAGTACAATCAAATACTTTCGAGACTCGTTTCGACCTGATCAATACACACAGCACCATCAATTGCAGCACCCAACGCAATGGCTTAAGTATAAAGATTTGAGTGATAGCGACAAGTATAAGTTTTTTTCCTCGACAACAGAATCGGCAGTGACGGATACAAAGAGTAACATTTGTAATCGTACAGATGAAGTTTTGATACCAGAGATTCATGAGCGAGGACGCTGTTTTGATATCATGGCGAGCATTGTAGAGATTGTGGCAGTCATGGCAGATGGTATGGGTCCAGTTGAGCCCACAGTTTATACGAGAGATCGATTAATGTACCAATACATGACCCATCATAATTACGAAGGAGAGTTACCGTCAAATTGTCCACGATGGTGTCCACCTCCCAACACTTTTGAAGAGTGTTATGTGATTCGAGCCGAACCACCTGTGTATCGAGTGGTACTCTACGCCAAGACTCAATTAGACTTTGTTATGGAGTTGGCGAAAGAAGGGTTATCAGGAGCCCAAATTTCAGCCTCTTTACAAACTTGTAAGCTTTATGCACCTCTGCTATTAAATGATGTTGTGAAAAGTCCGATGGAAATTGGACCATCGTGTACATCGAGTGAAGCTATGACAGTAGCGCAAGCAAACGAGAAAGAATTGAAGAAGAGTTGTGTGAATGAAAATATGACCCCCGAGTACAATGAAGCTCAGACGACTGAATTTACCAGATTTGGAATTGCTGTATGCTTAAACATCCTTTCAAAATTGCTTGAAGAGTCGTGGGGATTTTCGCTGGAATTTTGTACCGTTGCTCATCATCCTCAGTTCTCGTATCTGGATGTGCGCGTAAGGTTTTACAATCGAATCGGAGGGCTTCGAAGTGCTCATTTGGTAGCAATTCCTGAGTGTACTGGTCGATGTGACAAAATGATAATCAAAACATTGAACCGAGTACTCACTACGGTGCATCCTCACTGGAGAACAAAGCTACTGGGTGTTACAACAACTGGAGTTCTCCCCTTCCCATTTCGCTTGAATGAAGTGGTTGAGCATTTTCAACACGCAGCCAAAGGATCCGTGCTTTATCGATCCTCCAACTGTATTAGTCAGCTTCAACACATCTTGCATACATTTTGCACTTCAATCGACAACGGGAATTTTCTCCAGATGCAGAAAAAACTAAGCGAATATGTTCGTAAGGATCATCGTGTGAGCTCAAAGATAAAGAAGGATCCAACTTTCCGGGAACAGCTAGATGCCGAAGTCTACCGCGCTTCGAGTCCTCCTATGGCGTTCGGCCGGGAGATAAATATGTTTGTTACCCATAGCTTATTTCTTCAAGAACATCTAAAAGATTCCAAATCTCCGTCAAACCCTTCAATAGTGATCCCTGTGTCCTGGTGGGTGGAGCTTCAAGTCTTGCAATGGATACTCATTCGTGCTCATGCTGTTTATGAGGTCTTGATGAAGCATTATGTGACGATAGATCAGCAAGCCAATGTAATGGCTAGCTTGGCAGGAGAATTAATTACTAGTCTTCATGCCCAAATTTACAAGGATCCAAAATCAATACCTCAATTAAGTTTTGTAGACTATATATCTTTGGACAATCGAGTAGCTTTGTCCAAGACCCACACGGAGGAGTTTGTATTAAAAGCTAGTGAGCTTGCTCGCAATTTGGTCAAACAGGATGGTAATACAATAGTTAGATCCACCGCTGAAAGCTTTGCAACAGGTGCTGCGAACATGATTGCAGCGCTGGTCGAGCTCAGCGTCAGTCTAAAGCAGCAATGTGCCGCTTGTACTATTCCAACATACGGAGCAGCAACTGTTGTGACGGAAGTGCTACCGCCAGTAATGCCTCACGAGCTTGCACTTCTTAGCTTGGATGAGTTTGAAGAGATGCTTAAACCCTTTGAGACTTCGTTGCTTGGGACTCTAACTAAAGCTGAAATTAAAGTTATTCAGGAAGAGCACAAATTATTCCGTCAAGCTTTCGCCTTGGACGAAAATTTAAGATGTGCGCTTGAAATGTGCACACCAGAAACGCCTTTTCGTGTGGCATGGAACCTTATGGATGCTCGTTTTGATTCTCTTGAAGCTTTCGCCGGTGGGGTTGCAACGGTGTGGCCATCGCTTGTCGTCCCAGTAGCCGACAGAAACCTGTGTGATTTTGTTCTTTGTATCAAACAAATGGAGGAAGCACGTCTGATGCTTTCAGATTTTGAGCTGGAAAGCACCTTGCACGCACAACAATTTCAGTCACTTATGCTGCTAAGAGAACAACTGTACGAAAGAGACATCGACCGATGGGTAAATCGAAAGCGCCAGAAAATGGTTAATCCACATCACAGTAACGCTTTATGACCGGCAAGTATTCAAATGACCACCAAGTAGGCATGATACCTTGCAATTTTTCATGCGCAGCGCTGACGCCTAATGTCTTAAGAACATTGATACTCATGTGTCACTGACAACCGCTTCAAAGGGCAAGATTATGGCTTCACAGAACGTTTTTAGCAGAGCACGAAATTACAAAATCTGGAGACCCAGCGTACACCACTGAACTAAAAAAAATGTTCGACGAGAAGAATCAGCTCAATGATTGATATTCCTGCTAAAGCACGTTCGTGTTACGCAACTGCGTATCCTTTGACTAGACGTCCCATGCCCTTGCCTCCATCATCCACGCTTCGACGCGCAACATTGTGGCCACTTCAAATTACGAGTCGCAGTAGTACGAACTGAGCTATTTCTCGCGATAGCGCGGCTGCTGATCATCGCTTAGTTTTCATAATCATGGACAGAAGTTGAGCTTGCATACGGATCTCGAGCATCATCGTAAATTTTAATTATCGTCGAAGCTTCACACTTTATCTGCGTAATAGGACACTGTCCATGTTGCTCTACGTAGCGATATATACATGGATAGCAAAAAACAAAGCCGGAAGAAGTCATTGCGGGATTCACGCGCTTCTTCTTGCATAGTGGGCAACGTGTTGCGTCCACAGTCGCAAGAGCTAACGATTCTTCAGGAACTTTTGGTGGAAGTGGCGGAGGTGGAATTGGTGCGTCCGAGCGATTGTGTCGTAGCTTGGCTGCCAGGTCCTCATCCAGATACACCCACTCGACAAGCTTGTATGCGGCAACCCCTAGCAGTAACAGCATATGCGAATAATCAAGCATCACCCATGTCGCGCGATGCACAAGTCGCTGCAACCTGGCAAAAATATTGGGACCAGCCAACTTGTTCATTAAATTCGTGCGGTATGTTGCTTCATTTTGACAAAGCGCCGACTCATCGTCCGACGTGACTTTTAGAAGCACCGTCTTCATTAGTCTCAAAAGAGGCGAAAAGTATGGCGTATCGCCGAACAAGTAGAACCACTGATAAAGAAAAAAAGTGCCTTCGTATGCAAAGTGCGCGAACGGATACGTCACAACAAAGCCTTTTTTAAGAAGGTTTAACCACTGAAAGCTGCGAAGACGCCGTAAGAAATTGCCAAGTTGCTGCTCCCTTTGATTCATATTGGACATTTGAGTTGTCCTCAATTGCTCTGCTGTCTTCCTATAACACGAGTCAAGCTTTGTCTTCAAGTACGGCACTACGACCTACAGCCCCAAAATAAAGTTAGTTTGAAATGATGCTGTACAATGAGCATCATAAAATTGACGACATTCACTTATGGATTGACGTACATTCAGAAGCAGTGCCTGATTCTTTGCTTGAGGTGTCAACGGCTCCGTCGTGGACTCTGCATCTCTATTAGCTTTTTTCAGCCTAATGCGCTTCATTCCGTGAATTTTCTCAGTAAATAGACTGTCATACTTCGACAAAAAGTATCTTTCAATGCAAAGGCGTAAAAGCGTGTAGCTCTCATCAAAGTGACGGACTGGCAGTGTCAGTGATAAATTCGGATAGGATTCACACAGCACATGAATCAAATAATCAGCCGCTGGCTTGATACTCGATGCCATACGCTCGTGCATAAGCAGCTCAAAAAGCGATGGCGCCGTCGATGCATCTTCTTGTGCAAAGCCCTTCGTCTGTTCTAAGAAAAGCATTTCAACAGTTTGTGGGTAGTGAGAGCTATACAGGTGGTCCACCTGTAATATCATTAAAAGTACGTTGGTTGAAGATGAAGTTGATGCATCCAATCAGATTGTTTGACGTCAGGAAATTGGAGTGATGATCAAGCGCCACTTCCGCATTTACCTATATCAAAGGACGACAATGTTGCGCCAGGTTGCCTCAGTTTCTCGTCGCCTCTTTAGCACGAGCGCTGCTGACACGGACGTTGTGATTGTCAGCTATGCGCGTACGCCCATCACGTGCTTTAATGGATCTTTTGCACCGCTTCAAGCGCCCGAACTGGGTGCCATTGCTAACGCTGAGGCCGTCAAGCGAGCAAATCTCACTCCTGATCACATTCAAGAGGCGTTTCTAGGTAACGTAGTAAGCGCTGGTATTGGCCAGGCGCCAGCACGCCAGTCTGTTATTAAGGCGGGGTTTCCCACATCTATTCCGTGTACGACTATCAACAAAGTGTGCGCGTCCGGCATGAAGGCATTGGCCATCGGTGCACAGAGTCTCAAGAGCGGTAGTCAGCAAATCGTGCTAGCTGGTGGATTTGAAAGTATGTCGAACGTTCCGCATTACGTTCCAAAGGCACGCACGGGCTATCGTTTGGGCCACGGCCAACTTGTGGACGGCGTGATATATGACGGATTGTGGGACCCGTATAATGAACAGTTGATGGGAATGTGCGGGGAAAAATGCGCGGAGGACTTTGGCTTCTCACGTGAGGAACAGGACGCTTATGCGACTGAGAGCTACCGCCGTGCAGTAGAAGCTAGTAATCGAGGCTTCTTCAACAAGGAAATTACGCCCGTGACCGTCAAAGGGCGTGGCAATCAATCTCAGGTTTATGACAAGGATGAAGAAATGTTTGTTACGAAACCCGATAAAATTCCGACCTTACGCACGCCATTTAAGAAAAATGGCACGATCACGGCGGCAAACGCGCCGTCGCTGAATGATGGCGCAGCTGCCATGGTACTTATGACTGGGGCCAAGGCTCGAGAATTGAATGTTACTCCTTTGGCGCGTATTCGAGGCTTTGCTGACGCAGCGCAGGACCCTATGGACTTCACGATTGCCCCTTCCAAGGCCGTTCCGCTAGCCCTGCACCACGCTGGCCTTCAGATGAGTGACGTGGACTACCACGAGATCAACGAAGCCTTTTCGGTCGTAGCATTGGCGAATATGCGTCTCATGAATATCCAGCATGACCGCCTTAATGTCAACGGTGGCGCAGTTGCTATCGGCCACCCGATCGGCATGTCTGGCACGCGTATTGTAGGTACTCTCATTCACATCTTGAAAGAAAAGGATGCAACAATTGGCTGTGCAGCAATCTGTAACGGAGGTGGTGGCGCCGGTGCCATGATCATTGAACGCATGAATTAGATTACACACAAACGGTCAGGTAAAGACGTAACGCAATGCCATTGTGTAAGATGATCCCTTACGGTCAGCCTGTAGATGCACTGTCTAACAATTCGAGAATTAAAATATTGGCCATCACTTCAACGTTGTGAAAATCTCATGCAAATTTTTTCGCAATAAAAATCGTTGGTCCTCGGTCAACTCATGGGCATCGCACATCGTTTCCACGAAAGACTCAATCTGTATAAGTGGTACTTCAAATTCGAGCATACTCAACGTAAACGAGCCCAGCTGACCAAAGACTATGTTGTGCACGCGACAGACGGCTTCTTCACGGGATGGCAAACCTGATGGATCATTAATAAATGTCATTATTGCTCATGTGGTACATTTGTGAAAGACTTACTGTCGTGTTTACCCACACCACTTGAAAGTTCTTCCCATGGACAAGGTTGAGGGGTTCGTTGCAGCTCCTCTCCAATCGCCAGTAAAAGAGCTTTCTCCCAGAACTGTGTTCAAATTCCACCCGTTAGATGGACAAATGTTTAAGTTCTTTGGAAAAAGATAGTGATGTACCGAAGGAGTCTTCCATATGGAATGTTTCTTGACTTCCTCTTGGAGATATGTCCGAGTAGCTCCTCGATCAGTTCCTCCTCCATGAAGTAGGGGGTGAGTGTCATCAACATGTTTAAGCAATTCCTCACTTGAACATTCGGTATATCCCCTACAATCAGAACAAAGCCAGGATTGTCGCTTCAACTCGTCATCTTCATCCTCTTTTGAGTGTGCACAGCCCATTAACACATTATCTCGCTCCTGTTCGATTTCATCTAGTCGTGATCGACTTTTGTTCTGTCTATTTTTCGGAACGTAGAATGTCTCGGCCAAGATCATGGCCGTTTTCGCTGCCTTGACATCGTCTTCGCGTACGCATTCGTCAAGAAATGTATTAAAACACGCAACTAAAGTGTCAAAGCTCTCGTCGTCCTTCACCTTGGTTTCTAAGCTACGCTGTCGATTTAAACACTTGACGAAAAGAGCACGTCCCTCTGTTGTCTTGCAGGTTTCGCGCACAAGAGTTTCTGCTGAGACTCTAGCCTGTCTAATATCTTCAGTCGATAAACTCAGCTTCTCACACTCAACAATGGATTGTGATTCCAACGATTCACCATTTTCTTCGCTGTTCTGAACTGTGCTATCGATATCATCAGCAAAAAACTGGTGAAGCGCAGCACTCATCGGATTCTGTGTTAGAACAGTGTGGGGGCTGTCTGGTGAAGCCGTCACTGTTGTTTCCGTAGCATGTCCACGCTTCGAGTATAAGGGCGTCGCCATTGAACCCGGCGGTGATGTGGGCGAGGCCAACGTGCCGCTTTCAATGCTTCCCTGTTGTTCGAAATGATTGTGCAAGTGTCGCCTTGAAGTCACTCCACGATCGCTTTGTGCCTTTTTCCACTGCCAATCAAGTAACGCTAATGCTTTGCCCTGAAAGTGCATGTTGTCAGGATCACGCTGGTTGTGTATAAACAGCTGAATGTCTTCTGCTCGACTTAAACTCTGTACGTGAGTCTCCAATGACGCCAACATTTGTTGCGATACCTGCAGTCGCTCTTTTTCAACATGAAGAAACCGACGAAGACTAACAATTAGCTGATCTAGTCTTTCTTCCTCTGCCTTTTGATACGCGACACTCACAGCCATCGTCATCTCATCTCTTGCTATGATTCGATTATACAACGTCTTCTTTGCCCGTGCTCGAGCCATCACGGCCTCAGCCTGCTCTTCCTCGCACTTTGCAACTCGAGTCGCCAATCTCTGCAATTCAAACACTGGCACACCAATGCCCTGTGTAATCACAGCATTCAGCATTACAACTAGACACCTAATTTTGCATACAAGCGCTTACATGCAATGCGAGTCTTTGTTTCTCTCGGGCTTCTCGAAGCTCCCTCGTTGCTTTATTTAGTCGATTTATCGTCTCTTTATGAGCAGCAACAGCCACTTTGTACTCATTATTAGCATTCAGGATCTCGCCCTGAAGTGTTTGAATGTATGTTTCCGATGCATCTTTCAGCGACGCCAGAGGTTCTGCTACCTGCTCGTCCAGCACTTGCGCCATCAGTAGCTGCTGTCTACAAGTAGCATCGACAAAAGTTTTAAGCTCTAGCAAAGCGCGTCGAACACCCGTTCCGGGCTCCTCCAGAGCACCAATCTCTTCCAACAAAAGCTCCCGAAGCTGTTCACTTGCACCACGTTCTGCTTGTGCTTTGCGTCGAAAGAACACCACTAGACTTTGTAAACTACGCTTTCCTTTATCTGCATGTTCATAGATAGTATTAAATGGCACTTGGCAAAATGTACGGCGCCAATGATTCTCTTCATTTGAAGTTGCCCACTTTGTGCCCATTATTTCTGTGGGTTTACCCTCTAAGTCAGATGTTGATACGATTAGATCAAATGATTATCCGACAAAAGCTTTACTGTACGAATGCAATTTTTGTGAGCTGACATGCGCTCCTAAATTCTAAGTCTTTTGCTCCGCGATCGCCTTCTACCACTTCTTGTCTGCAAACTACCTAGGTGCTATCTCCTACTCAACTATTTCGCTACCAACTAATTCTCTTTCATTCTCTTCATTCACTCCACTCCGTCTTTGTCATTCAATCATCTCCACGATCGCCGTCTCTGCTTGCTCTATTTACTTGTCGTCAAGTATAAAGATCCGGCCATTGACGTACACGAAGACCGACATATGATCAACTAGATACACCGCCGCATTTCTCCTTAAAAGCACAACATACTTTAAACATGCTCCAAAACGAACCATCAGCGATGTCTTGACTGCCCACATCGTGTTGCTATCTATCTGTACTGCCGATGGTACGCTGCTGTAGACGATGGCAGGTCGTAGTTCACAGAGATAGGGTTCTTGCACAAATCATCTGCATCTGATGCGCCATCATCGCTAACCATTTGTCCAAACGAGTCAAGTGAATGTTTTGCTCCTTCATTTTCGAGTTGCTGCTGATCGTGATTTGTTGCCAGATAGTCTGGCTGTAAAAAGTTCCCCAGCGACGAGTATGGTGTGTCTGTGTCACTTTCAGAGTGCATTCCGAACGCACTACCGGTATGTCCAAAGCCACCGTCGATAGAAAGATCAATACCCATCATTCTATTGCCAAAGCTATCGTGGCCAGAGGGTGCAATCGAGTCATTATTGTCATAACTCGTGTCTGCATTTAAAGGCCATGCGCTGGATCCATGCAGTCTAGTGCCTTCATTGTGCTGAGAAGAAAAGATCGAAAACAATGGTGTAGGAACGGGTGGAAGCGGTGGTTGTTGCTGCTGTTGGGTCCGCGGTAAAGGCGGAGACCCCCACGATTGTTGCTGCCAGGGCGACGCTTGCCAGGAGAGATTCGATCCGTGCTGGGAAGTATCGTCGACGAGTCCGTGAAGAACAAAGCTCGACTTGGTGGGTGAAGAATGAGGTGCACTCGGTGAAAGTTGTGGGCCTAAGCTTGGAGACAACTTCCATTGCTCAATAACTGGGTCGTTGTCTAGCGGATGAAAAGCGACATCTAACGGGGACATGTGGCCGTTCGTGACTGATGTCGTTGCTGAGTCCATAAAATGATCAGTTGATCCACGCGACGAAGAGCCTGCAGACAGCGGTGGAGAGGGGATAGCGCTACTTGCGGACAAAATACCACCTCCGCGTGAAAAGCTTCCATTGCCAATTACGAGACTGGAAAGAGCATCAGCAACACCATTGATCGCGGAGGAGTCTAAGGTGATGCCGTTGATGCTGCACGAATCTTCGTTATTGGGCATAAGTCGTGGCGATGTCATTGACGACGATGGCATGGCATTCGAGCTTGAGCTTTTAAGCACTCCGCGACCACCATAGCGAACGGCGGCAGCGTATCCTCCCAGCATTCCATTTGGCATGAGATTTGCGGAAGCTGACGATGTTCGACTGAGCTTCTCGGATCCCATCGCAGTGGCCAGACCATTAGAAGACGGCACACTTCCACATAGTGACACGGGTGGAGTCGTAGCCGTACTTATTTCGTCCAAGCTTCCAACAGAGCCTGGTCCAGAGAGACCACTAAAGGAACCTCCACGAGACGAGACGGATCGTGGAGGAGGCACGTCCGTACGTGGAACAGCACGCTTAACCTCGACTGACTTGCCATCAATCACGTGATTAGCTTCCTGTAGAACCATCTCCACACTGGCTTCACTCTCAAAGATGACAAACCCAAAGCCACGGGATTTGTTTGTCTCCCGATTAAACATTACTTCAGCCGACACGACCTTGCCATATTGCGTAAAATACTTCTTGAAGTCCGCTATAGCCACGTACACTGAGATCAGCAGTGCTTTGAACCAGAGGTAGTACAATATGCAAACTACGTACCATCTTTTGTTTCATAATGTAAGCCACCTACAAAGATCTTCTTTGTGGCACCAACCAAACTGCTCGCGCTTATGCTACAGATTGTATTGGTACCAGTACCACGATTGATTATCGAGCCACCTCCAATATCGCGCATGCTCTCCGCACGAGGAACAGCACGTTTCGCTTCAACCTGAGAACATGAAAGGTAAGAACAAATCGATGCCAAAGCAGCCAATGAGGGGAGGAACCTCCACGTACCCGACGGCTATCTAATATGTGATTGGGCTGGGCTAATGCTCTATCAACGCATGAAGGGTCCGCATATGTAATAAACCCAAAGCCTCGTGATCGCCGAGAAATCGGGTCTTTCATAACCACGGCATCCGTAACTGTGCCGTACGCACCAAAGTACGACCGAAGCTTCTCTGTAAACGCATAAGACGATAAGCAGATCTATTAAACCACTTGTACAACTTTCTCTCTACTTGCAATCACAACGTACCATCAGTCGTCTCATACGATAGCCCCCCAATGAATATTTTTCTGTAAGCAACGCCATATTTAAAGTATCAGCCACTATCCCCAAGAGAAACTATCCAGTCCAGTGTAGACAACAAAAAAGTCTCATTGTCTGCTGCATACACCAACTTACCCTAACTTAGTAGCGTCTGTCATGCTTAAGTCGCCTACTGCGAAGCTTACGTCAAGCTGTGGCCAAAAAGGACACCGCCAGCAAAATGTGGTGCTACTTAAAGTGTCTTGCTTTCACTTTTGCCGTTTCGCTGAGTAGTCTAGACTGTAAAATGAGACAGTCTAGAAACACAAGGAATCCTCTTGAATCTCTCTCCCTGACAAGCGCAAACTTACAACAGAAGCGATAACCCGGAGAGCGTATGACGCAAGTGCGTTAGTGAGAGTTTTCCTTTACGATGCAGTCTGCTGCAAATTCGTGCAGCTGGTGAGTGATGAGAAGAGGATGCGTACTCGCACTTTTGGATGTCGTTCGGTCGGCGTTGTTGGTTTTGTTTCAGAGCTTGGCAGTCTAATATACTAACTACACTACTGTGTTTCTGAGTCGAAATTTTGGACTAGAGGACGCACGTAAGTGGTCAAAGTTTGTGATAATGCCTAAGGATTGGACAAAAAGAATGCGGGAAAGTCTCAGTTAGGTGGCTTTCTTAATTTAGTTATTTTTCTTTGCGAGATTTGTTATGACACATCTCGCGACCCCGCGCTATGAAAAATGATAACATGTGTGAGAATCAAGATTCTCTCCATACACTGTTTTGGCCGCTCGATTTCCCCTAACCGCAACACGTACGAAATTCATTGATGGGATATGGTGTGGAATCGTAAGTAGTAAGTTGTGGTGATAATCCTTTGTAGTTACTTGAATTTCTCTTGTATTTTAACTTTAGTATCTCCGGAGATTAGAATTTGATGACATTGCTCTTAATTTGATAACATTATTTTAATCAGGTTGGACGGGGCAAACATTTATAAGAAGCGAATCTGATAGATATGCTTTTACTCCAAAACAGAATTATTTAGAATAAGATGGCGAAAAATGATTACGTTTGAAGTGCCTCCTGTTAATGGGCTTCTTCGTATGCACGAAGCAGTGCTATCTCGACATCGTGATTCATCGGGTTCTGGCTACCACGCTCTCTGCAGCTGCGAATGCGGTCACTTTTTGAAAATTCGCGAGATATAGCTGAGCTTTTTGTCCTCGACCCGGAGCTGGTTGCAAATGATTGCAAAGGAGGTTGCAGTCAATAAGACCAATTTGGTGACGGTGTCGTCGGAATTCTTCGCTTTTGCCGAGCAACTTTTGGGTGTTGTATGTTCAATCAATACTCGACAGTTGAGGCACTTTGCCAGCATCCAGTATATCCTTAACGAGTGCTTACTTTTTTCGCCAGGCTTATACGTAACCGGGCCTCTGGTCACTACATAAGCTGAGGCTCGCTTCTTAGTTCCTCAGAAAATTCAGGCGGATACGAACCGCACTCGACTTCGTGCTCAAAGAAAAGGCGCTCCTGTACCCGCGATGCGGACAATCCCTGTGGTGCTTGTTCCTGGCGAAACCGCTGGAAATGACGAAGAGCTCTTTGAGCGATGGGTGCAGCGGCACCGGCTCGCTGGACAGCTTAGCCAGAGGTAGGTGGACGTGCAAGTCGAACGCCATCTTCGGTTTGTGTTTGCACAATTCAAGGCACGTCGCAGACTTCCTTCGAATCGTCGATGGGTTGGTCCAGCACGCTCCCGCGAGCTCTGTGGTCTCTCACACGGTTGAGTCTGTGTTCACAGCAGCTCAGGGCCATAAGCTGAGCTCAAGCTATGATCCTTTGACTTCCCTTGCTATTGCCGAGAAGCGCGGGGCGTGGGACGTCATAATCCTTCTGATCATAGGCGTTTACAACGTCTAGGCAGTCTTGCCGAAGTGTCACCTCAAACTTCGACGAGTTCTCGGAGTCGGGGTGTCTCTGCCACTCCACAAGTTACTGGGTTTGACCCTGGCGACGACGTCGACCCACAACGGTTCCACGTGGTAGTGGACACCACTGATCTCGTCGAGAAGAATCGCAGGTGGACGATGACGACTTGGTCGGTCGCCGTCCGGTGACTCGCGGTGCTCTTCAAGCTGTTGGGGACAAGGTATGCCGCCACCGAAGCTCCACTAAGCATCATAATGAGGTCGCTTCCCGCTGCGCGGGAAACCTCAAGAGCTTGAAGCACTTTGTACACCGACTGCCTCACATTGTGGACTATCGCGCTCTGTCGGAGCAGCTCCTAGCCGTCGAGCAGACGAATGCGTCTCTTCGTGCGACGTTGGAGAGTCTGCCGCCGCTGGAGACGGAAATCGTCGCTCTCCGTGCTCAAAATCAGTTGCTGGTCCAGCTTCTGGGTGGTCGAGCACCTGTGGACACTGCAACGGCGCTAACGCTTTTGCCGGATCGGCTTGAGCAAGCCCACGTAGAACACCTGGTGGGTGCGAACCCTTACGAAAGATGTATCGTATCCGGAAAGCTCCGCTTGGCCATGGCTTCCAAGGTCCGATAAATCGTGGACAGAGCTTCGTGTTAAGGACAGCCGAAATTGCATGTGTAGGAAGGTCTCCCGCGTTTAAGAGAATCAGGTCTCCGACCTCAATGTTTTCAAAAAAATTCTGCTTCTTCTCTCTGCATATTCTTTTTGCAGGTTTTAACTTTCACCAGAAATTTACTTCAATGCAGCGTAAAATATGAGCTGTTTATGTGATCGTTATATGGTCTAAATGTAGATAAAATGAAGCATACAGGAAAAGCAATCGAAGAGTATACACCTCAGAAGGTCCGCAAGCCTACAGAGGGGATCATTAGCAAGTTTATCGACTTTTCCCAGAAATGAATATAGCTCTCTACCGTTCTTTAGTAACTGAGCAAATAGTTGTGTGATTCTTGCGGAAAATCTGGCCCACAAACGCTCGCGGTGGTAATGTAGCTGGACTAAACAGGAATTTGGTGATATACAGGCCTCCCAAAAGCAGTTGGGCGTATTGATAGCCGCAACAATGACGGGAGTTGTATTTTAGAAGCGTAAATTGCAATATTCGTGGTATTGTGGTGAGTAATTGTTTGAAAAATTCAGGCAAAATTCCCAATTTTTGCATTATATAAATCAAGCTCTTTTACCTTGCAACCTGTTATTTGGTTTTTTTGCAGATTTCATGTAGTTTGTTCGCTGCATTTAATAAAACGTAACCCCTAAACTGGTGAAATCCTCAGAAGTACTATACACCTATCGCTGCTCAAATCATGCAGCTATGAGTTGTAACTGGCAAGAGCTTTGCGACTATATACAGTTCGAACCGTCGTGTTGATCGATCTGATCTGCTAGAAGCAAATCGGCGCGCAGAATCGCTGCGCTGAGGCACGTATGTGAATGGTTTTGCAGCACAGCCTGGAAGGGACGCGTATCCAACACCCAGAAGAATCGCTTACAGTTAGTTCAGCACCACCGACGTTGGATGTTATACTCCACAATACTGCTAATGCGGTCTGATGTCAGTATTCGGCTCATCTTGATCATTGATCATCGCTTATCAAATTTTGTAGTTTTGTGGCCTTACAAACCGTTATCAAATATATGTTGACGCGCACCTCGGATTCCGCGTTGATGAACACACAATGTCAGGATCAACCAGACTGTTTTCGAGATGTGAAGTCGAGAAGGGAGAACATTCGCTAAATAACGCAAGTACAGCGTATGAGAGTTTTTGCTTCAGCTCCATGGTCACCCTGCTGAAGTGCTATAGACACCACGCATTTTGATGCATTTTGTCTTAACATTGCTCTGTAGATGATGCGTTGTAGACTCATTCAACCTTGTGCCACGGATTTGCTTATTCAAAACGGATCTCGATCAAAATGGTTTGTTACAAGCACGCCAAATTATAAAAAAAGTTTCTGGGAACGGCTTGGCTTCACCCTTATAGTAGTAATGTCGCTGACAGCAGCGAAATGAGCCCTCGTGTGTTAAGATTTCGCAGAGTCATGATGTTTGTACCACCGAGCTGACTCTAACTATCCTCATAACGAATATATGCAAAGAAGTGTCGAGCACTCTGCCCGGATCGGTAGCTCGACCAAGGGCGCTGACACATGCAGCGATTCTTTGCCTCGCTGACTCATTTCACCCGTGCGCATATTAGCATTTTTTCATTGTACACTTTGTGTCACCAGCACATATTTTGCAATGTTGTACCTCGTAATTCCTTTGATAAAGTCTATCTTGCGCCTCATACAATTTCTGTATATGATGATCCAATCATGTGTACGACTGCAGCGGGGCTGCCGTAGCTTTGCGCTTAGAGGAAGCGTAAGTTAGGTCACCGATCGTTCGTTCTATACTAAGAGCAAGTACGAGTTTAGCGGATCGCAATCCGCTTACTCCATGAGTAGTTACAATCTTAACCCGAGGCTAATTAACTCTTCCGTTTAAATTTAAAAATGACTTTATTTATTTTTGTCTGCGGCAAAGCCGCCTAAGTATAAATATACAGGTTTTCCTAATCATGCACAGTAAAATCTAAATACATGTATAACTACTGGCCATCCAGCCCCGGACTGCAGTCTTGTTTGGGTATCGTCACACCCTGCCCATCTGGTGTGACACACACCCCTGCTACCAGGGTATGTGTAACCCCGTTACACTCTCCCCCATTAAGATTAAAATTATTTACCATTCCAATTGATTATCGTCTTCACGAGGCTTGCGTGTCCGTTAGACACTGCGTTGGAACGAAACGACTTCCGTGCTCAATGAGCTCTGTGTCAATGACACCGAAGTTTCCAAGTCTCGCTGGATCCGGCAGCGCTCACGGGCAGATCCCTGCTTCATCTCCTGCACACGGTGCCACGTCGGACCGTGTCTCCGCGGCATTTAGGGATGTAAATCCTTGGCTCGATGATCCCGAGCGTCGCGCTCCGCGCACGCTAACGGTGACGAGTGACTTCGTTGGGTATGTGGAGGTGGTCGACTACGAGTCTGACACTCCTTTTCCCGGATGGAGTGACGAGGAAGGCGGGCCGCTCCAGCGGCGTAAGACGAGCCCTGCTCGCGCCTTGTGGACCCCATATCCGTTTCCTGACTTCTCGTCACCTGAGGGACGTGGTGTAATCACCAATATGAGGCACAGAAGCGGCGGCTGGAAGCTGCCCGTAAGGCTGCTTTGATT